CCTGGGGGTATGGAGGTCCAGGCCGATACAGCATATGTGTAGCTCTGTCCTTGTTTAATATTTATATCTTTTACTTTATATTGTTTATGTCCTTCATAAGCGATGCAAATGTAAGGATGACTGTTGCGATAAACTTGATAAAATAATATCGGCGGCCCTCCAGTGTCGGCTGGGGGCCCCCAGCTTATCTCAATGCTGCACACAAACCCTAAACCCTAAACCCTAAACCCTAAACCCTAGGATGGACCCTAGATCGTAGATGCTAAACCTTAGGATATATCTGAGACCCTACGACCTTTATTAAACACTAAACCCTAGGATAAACCCTTCAAACAATAAATGCTAACCCTAAACTAGACCCTAAACCCTACGCTTAGCCATAAACCCTAAACCCTAAACCCTAAACCCTAAACCCCTAAGCTAAACCATTAGAACAACAGAAACAAACCCTAGGGTTTAGAGTTTTTTTGGTGTATTATTATGTGGGTTTATAATTACTGCTGATGAGGGTTTAGCGTTTTAGGGTTTGACGGTTGACAATTTAGGGTTTAGGGTTTAGGGTTTAGGGTTTAGGGTAATTACCAGTTGGCTGCTTTGCGAATGCATGTGAGATTGGAGGGTGCTGCTGGTGTTGCTGCTTCAGCTGTACGTACAGCTGCTTGGTTTGAAGGCTGGCTTTCCTGCCCTTCTTTGTTTGCAGCACAAACACTGTAATTAAATATAAAAGATGTTTTAGGGGGTTTATCAATAAAAGTAAAACAGCTGCCATCTACAGATCCAACTAAAGACCCGTCCCTGAGCATAAACAATAAAAACCTTTCACTTACACTGCTGCTGCTGCTGCTGCTGCTGCTAGTGCTGCTTATGGTTCTGTTGCTGCTGCTGCTGATTGTGCTGCTGATTGTGCTGCTGCTGCTTATGGTGCTGTTGCTGGTGCTGCTGGTGCTGATAATGATGCTGCCGTTGTTGAGTCGCTGCTGCTGCTGAGGTTGCTGCTGCTGCTCCTGCTGCTGAGGCTGCTGCTAACCCTGCTGCTGCTCGTGCTGCTGCTGCTGCTGCTGCTGCTGCTGCTGACCTGTAGATGTTGAAGGCAGCAACTGTCTCCTTGTTAAGAGGAGTCCAACCCCACTCCAGAGACACCCGACCGCAGGAGACATCAGTGCATCTGTATGCATCAAAACAGCAGCAGCAGCAGTAGCAGCAGCAGCAGTAGCAGCAGGAGCAGCAGGAGCAGCACGGCAAGCAGCAGGACCAAATCCACCAGAAAGCAGATCAGCAGAAACAAAGGCAGCGAAAACGAAACCAGCAGCAGCAGCAACTGCAGCAGCAGCAACTGCAGCAGCAGAACACGAAGAGGAGCGACTAAGCCAATACTAAGCTTGAAATTCCTAATGGACGTGCCGCAGCAGGAGCAGCAGCAGCAGCAGGCGCAGCAGCAGCAGCCGCAGCAGCACCAGCAGCAGCAGCAACTGCAGCAGCAGCAACAACAGCAGCAGCAACAACAAATGGAGTAACAGCAGCAGCAACATCAACAGCAGCAGCAGCAGCAGCAACAGCAGCAGCAACAGCAGCAACAGCAGCAGTGACAGCAGCAACAGCAGCAGCAGCAGCAGCAGCAGCAGCTGTATGTGCACCTAAGGGCTTCTGGTTTAGAAGGGGGTTGCTGCAGCTGCTGCAGAAAACCAGCAAAAAGAGCGAAGCTGCCTGTACACCCCACGTAGTAATGCTGCCCATTGGGCGATTTATCCCACTGGTCGTTCCCTGAACACCCGCCAAACCCTAAACCCTAAACCCTAAACCCTAAACCCTAAACCCTAAAACCTAAACCCTCATATCTAGAGGTTACGCGGTGTCAAACAAATTGCAAAGACGCCTCAGAAACTCCATAAACCCTTTTTTTTTCAGTTCAGGCCTTAGGGGGTTAGGGTTTAGGGTTTAGGGTTTAGGGTTTAGGGTTTAGGGTTTAGGGTTTGTTGTTCCACCATCGTTTAAGATGAACTCTAAGTCGCGGGATGCGGAGAAGAAATACCAAAGTTTGTCTTTAGCGTGTCTGCAGTACAAACCCTCAAACCCTTCTTTATTTAGGGTTTAGGGTTTACTAGGGTTTACTAGGGTTTACTAGGGTTTAGGGTTTTATTTGCCGATGCTGATGATGGACTGCAGCAGCAACGCGGCAGCCCCTCCCAAACCCTCTTGCAAACCCTTTTCTTTCAGGTGTATGTAAACCCTAAACCCTCATCTACAAACCCTGATTTTCGTGTGTATGTAAACCCTAAACCCTCATAATCGGGTGTATGTAAACCCTAAACCCCAATTCGGTGGAGTTTGTAAACCCTAAACCCTCGTTTTTTAGGGTTTGTAAACCCTAAACCGTCTTTTATTAGGGTTTGCAATCCTTAAACCCTCCTTCTGTATTGTATTTAAACCTGTGTAAACCCTAAACCCTCAGTTGTTGGTGTGTATGTATGTTCTAAACCCTAAACCCTGATCTTCCTGTGCAAACCTAAACCATCAAACCCTCAGCATACCCTCTAAGTCGCTGAGGCAGCAAATTATAAACTGCTAGTCCTTCAGGTGTATGTGCAGACACCCGAGAAAGTATAACCCCAGGAAGAGATGTCCAAAGGCCTCCGTCTTCACGATAATGCAAATAAGGCTGACGCCATCCTATATACACAAACCCTAAACCCTAAACCCTAAACCCTAAACCCTAAACCCTAAAAGCTGACCCTTGGGGTGGTGCAGGTAAGGTGGTGTCCTACAAACAAAAACCCTAAACCCTAAACCCTAAACTCTACACCCTAAACCCTAAACCCTAAACTCTAAACCCTCGATGGCGTGGGGCATAGAAGGCTGAGTCCATCCTACACTTTAAAACCCTAAACCCTAAACCCTAAACCCTAATTGCATCCTAAACTAAACCCTAATTACATCCTAAACCCTAAACCCTAAACTCCAAATCCTAAAACACCCTTCATGGGGTGGTGTAGATGAGGCTGTCCACCCTACAGCCAAAACCCTAAACCCTAAACCCTAAACCCTAAACCCTAACTAGACCATGTCTTGCTGAGGAGACAGCAAAACGAATGCGCGACCTCCAAACTATGCGTTTAATGCCTCCTTAAACCCTAAACCCTAAACCCTAAACCCTAAACCCTAAATTTGAAGAGTTTGAGCCTTGTCGTGGATACCCGTAATGTAGAGCAGCAAAATCCCTCCCTGATGCAGGGTAGGGATGCCTGTTATCTGCTGCTGCTGCGGCTGCTGCTGCTGCTGCTGCTGCTCATTAGGTAGCAGCAAAGAAGATGAATGCAGCGGCAATGAATTGCTGCTAAGCGTTAACAGTTCTCCACTTGAGGAGGGCCGCCTCTTGATATGGCGGGGGCTTAGAGAGGGGCCCATCAGCTGCAGTTTCTGCTGCTGTTGCTGCTGCTGCTGTTGTTGCTGTTGCTGCTGCAGCAGCAGCATAGAGCCCTCCGCGTCGCAGCTTTCAAGGACCCCTATATCAGGGCCGGTGTGATAACGACATAGAGGCTGCAGCAGCAGAGGGGGGCCCCCAGGGGCTGCCTCCTGCTTCTCCTCCATGCTGCTTCTCCAGCAGCAGCAGCAGCAGCAGCAGCAGCAGCAGCAGACGACTGGCTAGTGGCTAGTTGGGGTTAGTAGAGAGAGGGTTTAATTTACTCAGCCCCTCCACATATTAATGCAATATATAATTTAAAAAGAATTATTAATAATATTATTATTTTATTATTACTTCCAAACGAAGCTTAAAGAAGATTCTTTAAGGTGCGCGAGGTGTATATACACCTCAATGCGGTGCAGCAGGACATGCTTGGGGCTCTCTGTTAAAAAAAGGGTTAATAAAGAAAAATATTAATAAAATTAATTTAAATATCTTTTATTTATTCAAATATTTATTTAAAATAAAGAAAAAACGAACAGCAACACTGCAGCAAACCACCGATAGATTAACAAGTCAGGGGGCCCCTAAGCGCGAGCACCAGCAGCAGCAGCAGCAGCAGCAGCAGCAACAGCAGCAGCAGCAGCAACAACAACAGCTGGTTTTTTTATAACCCTTCTTATTGTTTTATTACTTAGAACCAAGAGAGGGTATTCCTTTGCATTTCTTCAGAGTTGCTGCCTCTAAGGCCTACAACAAACCCTAAACCCTAAACCCTAAACCCTAAACCCTAAACCTTAAACCCTAAACCCTAAACCCTGAGGCCTCTTCGAGCCCTCTTGGAGGGCTTTTTAATTACGGTTTGTAAGGATTGTGAGGGAAGACATATTACTTTTTGGGTTTGTAGCTGCACACCAGCAGCAGCAGCAGACAGAGCAGCAGCAGACAGAGCAGCAGCAGCAGCAGCAGCAGCAGCAGGAGCAACTGCGCTTCCCTTTCTCCTGCTGCTTGCAGAGAGGGCGTGTTGTTGCTGCTGCTGCTGCGGGTGAAGCAGCAGGTAAATCTGCTGCTGCGCCAGTGTGCGGATTGAGCTTACTGCTTCCATATAGCAGCAGCAGCAGCAGCAGCAACAGCAGCAGCAGCAGCAGCTGCAGCAGCAACAACATGGACCGAATTCTTTCTTCCCAGCTGTACCCGCCTCCCGTTGCAGCCTGCTGCCCCTAGAGATACGGCAGCAGCAGCAACAGCAGCAGCAGCAACAGCAGCAGCAGCGGCAGCAGCGGCAGTTGCAGCTGTTGCTTCGCTACAGCAGAAGCAGCAGTGAGGCAGCAGTAGATGCAGACGCAGCACTTGCTGCTGCAGCAGGCGCTGCTGCTCCTTCCCTATGAGTTTCCCTCCCAGTCATGCTGCTGTAGAAGCAGCAGCGCAACGTGCTGCTGCTGCTGCTGCTGCTGCTGCGAAGTGGGAGACGCAGCCAGTGGAGAGCAGCAGCAGATTCACACCTTGCAGCAATAGTGAGCAGGTGCAGCTGCTGCTGCTGCTGCAGCAGCAGGAACAGCAGCAGCAGCAGCAGCAGCAACACCGACAGATAAACTATGGACTCTCATTCTCCTCTCCAGCTGCAGCAGCAGCAGCAACTGCAGCAGCAGCAGCAGCACACGTGCCCATCAGCAGCAGTATGAGCTTATATACCAGCAGCAGCAGCAACAACAGCAACAACAGCAGCAGTTTGTTCGGACCTGTTGGGGCTACTTCGGAGGCTTACCCTCTGAGCTACTGCTTCCCTCAGCAGCAGCAACAGCAGCAGCAGCAGCGACAGCAGCAGCAGCAGCAGCAGCACGAAGCGTTTTACCCTTGGACCCCATGGAGAGGCAGCAGCACTTCTGTAAACAAGGGGTTAACCTATGCAGCAGCAGCAGCAGCAGCAGCAGCACCCGCAGCCGCAGCAGCAGCAGCAGCAGATGGTGTAGATGAAGACTTGTGGCCGCCTCTCTGCCCCGAGTTAGAGCATAGATTTGCTGCAGCAACTGCAGCAGGAGGAGCTGCAGGACCAGTAGGAGCAGCAGCAGCAGCATCTGCTGCTGCTTCTGCTGCTGCTACTGCCGATCCCAACGTAGCTGCTGTTGAGGCCCTGCTGCAGTGTAAGGAGTTCATTCGTCTGGCGAAGCTGCTGCTTAAAACCATCGATCAGATCTGCAGCAGCAGCAGCAGCAACAGCAGCGGCAGGAGCTGCATGTTCCCTGGTGGTGCTGCTGAAGCTGCTGCTGCTGCTGCTGCTGCAGCAGCTGCTGCTGCAGCGGGGGGTAGGGTGTGGGGTGGAGCAGCAGACTGGAAGAGCAGCAGCAGAATGTCTCTTTTAAGTTCGAGCTGCATAGGGCATGCAGAGCAGCAGCTGCTGCTGCTTGCTGCTGCAGCACGGCGCTGCAGCAGCTGCTTGTGTTGGGTTACAGCTGAGGGTGGCGCAGCAGCAGAGATGCAGCAGCAGGAAGATGCAGATGCTGCTGTTCTTGGTGCTTTCGCTGCTGCTGCTGCTGAAGCAGCAGCAGCAGAGACGCAGCCGGTGCTGCAGTCAAGCAGAGAGCAACGCCAGCTGCTGCAGCGCCAGGTGAGGCAGCAGCTGCTGCTGCAGCAAATCCAACAGCAGCAGCGGCAGCAGCAGCAGCAGCAGGGGCTCGTGAACACGACAGAGAACAGCAGCAGCAGCAGCAACAGCCTATCTGTCTCCTTTCGGCAGCAGATGCTGCAACAGCTGCAGCAGCAGCAGCACCAGCAGCCGCCTCGGCCAGCAACAGCCACACAGATCAGCAGCAGCAGCAGTAGCAGCAGCAGCAGCAACAACGACAGCAGCGGCAGCAGCAGGATTGATATGCGTTCAGCCGTGCTGCAGCAGCTTGCACAAGCTAACAAAGCAGCATCTGCTGCAGCAGAAACAACAGCGGGAAGCAGTAACGCAAGCAGCAGCATTGCCGACAGCAGCAGCAGCAGCAGCACACCTGAGCTGCGCAGCAGGTCCGCCCCCATTACAACTGTCTCCTGGCAGCAGCAGCTACTGCAGCAGCAGGAGCTGCAGCAGCAGCAGCAGCAACAACAGCAGCAACAAGCAGCAGAAAATGAAGGGCCAGGAGTAGGACAGGTGCAGCGTTTGCTGCTGCACCTTGCTGCTGAAGGGCCCCAGCACCTGCTGCTGCTGCGTCGCTTGCTGCTGCTCCACTGCAGCAGCAGCCCACAAGGCCTGGACCCGCAGCAGCAGCAGCAGCAGCAGCAGCAGCAGCAAGGCAGGATGTGTCTTCCAGCTCGTCATGTGCTCTATCGATGGTTTCGCGAGGGTATAAGGAAATATCCGGAAGTGCTGTGGCTGCTGCAGCAGCAAGAGCAGCAGCAGCAGCAGCAGCAGCAGTTGCAGCAGCAAGAGCAGCAGCAAGAGCAGCAGCTGCAGCTGCAGCAACAGCAGCAGGTGTACATGCCGCATGCACTAGAGTACGGCGTATCGCAGCAGCAGCAACAACAGCTGCAGCAGCAACAGCAGCAGCAACAGCAGCAGCAACAGCAGCAAGACTTAAGCCTTTCTTGTGCTGTTCAGGTAGCAACACAGGAAGCAAGTTTGCTGCTGCTGCAGGCCCAGTGTATACACCGCAGCGTAGAGAGAATGGATCCCGAAGTGCTGCTGCTGCTGCTGCAGCGGCTGCAGCATTTGGGGTATATCTTTTATGAAGTGCTGCAGCCGCTGCTGCAGCAATTTGCTGCCGACTCTGCTAATGCTGCTGCTGCTGCAACAACAGCAGCAGCAGCAGCAGCACCTTGAATTGTCTTGTCATGAGGCGTAGCAGCACAAAGGAGACAGGAGACAGATAAAATAAACAATTAAATAAAAAGAACAAAAGCAGCTAAAATATAAATAATAAAATTAAGAGAAGCAAAAGATATCATAAATAATAAAATAGAGACAGACAAATAATATAAATAAACAAAGGCAGCAGATAAAATAAATAAATAAATAAAAATAAAATAAAGAGATAAAACAAACTAAAAATTAAAACAGACAGCACGAGGTGTACAAGTTTGGTTGATGCAGCAAATTAAGCAGGCAGCAGCCACTTCTG